TTGATTGAAGATTTCGTCCAACTTTCGTTTAAAATGTCAGATAAATTTAGAGATTTGCCTATAACCGTGTCGCATTTTGCAGCTAATTTTATGACAGCGGTAGCAGAACTTTATTTCAATGATCAACATGGTGCACTGGTTGCACCACCTGAGAGACTCTTGGATGTTATCGCAAATTGGATTTCAGAAAATCCTAATCTATGTTATGCATGTTATGAACCGATTGCTTTGCCTCAAGGTGCTATTGCTATGCCAGTAGTAACGTCTATATCTGGACTTTTACGTTGGACAATTTTAGCACCTCTGGTAACAGACAAAGTTACATATAAAAAGCTGCATCTATATTTAATACAATCTATTATAAATAATAAGGGTTCTAACCAATCGGCTGCAATTGATGCTCAACATATGCAAATTGTAATTAATTCGTTGCTTCTGCATGCGTCACGTTCAGTTCCAGCATCAAATGATGATCCCGCCTTTCAGACTTGCATTGAACGTTTATCACAGGCTGTGCACACAGCAATCAATTCACAAGCGATTTATGGAAACATACCTCAACTATTGTGCTCTCTGCAAACGCTACCACATAATGAATTTCTCTCCACTGTTATTAAAATGCACAAAATTAAAATTTAAGTAAAATTACTTCCATTTAAGTTAATCATATAAATTATATTATATATTTAAATTAATATATATTAATTACTATAGTAGTTAACATGATATATTATTGTACGGAATTATATATTATATATATAATATTTCATTAATATATTTCCTTTAAACCAATCTTGCGTGTTTAATGTCTCTTTGATAAATTAGAAGGGTCTGAAACGTCGTGACTTCTTAAGTAATTCTATCTTTTGTTTGTCTTCTTCAAACTTTTTGCGCAGGTTAACTATATTTTTCATCTTTGATTCACGTATTTGGAATGTATAGAAATTAGTGAGCTCTTTATTTTTCTTGTCCTTGGCCACTTTTTGTTCAATTCGATCGATAACTGATTCTTTTTGCTCAAATCCAGCATTACGACCCTGCTTGCCAACTGTGACCCAACCGTCAGCATCTGCTGCAGAAGTTTTTGCTGCCTCATTAGCAACTTTTTCGCGCTCTTCATAATCGACCATGTATTTATCAATTTCTATTTGCGTTTCTTCTACATTTAGAATCTTTTTTTCATGCTGGGAATGCCACAGCTGTAATCCAGTTTCGATTAAGGACTCGCCTGTTGTTTCGCTAAACAAGTCAATGCTTTTTGCTAACAGTGCACGTGGCACACTTTTACTTTCCTTAAATACTACATAGGCTACCTTAAATTTAAATGGCGGTTCATTGTTTGTAAATGGTGTCGTGTATTCCTGCCATTTTTGGGTTTCATCCCGACCCGGTTTTTCGGCAAATGAAACCCTTATAACTTCACCAAATCGTTTGAAAAATTCCATTAAACTCTTTTCCGTGACATAAGGTGGTATGTTGAGTAAAAATAATGTACGACCTCTGGGTTTGTTAGGATCCATGAGACGTATAAAGTGCTCTCGCATATAAATGTGATGCCCAATTTTTGTATCAGGCGTCAACTTCAGAAGTGACACTAAAGTTAGAATATATGTATAAATTTATGTAAAAAATTATATTAAATATATTACCTTTATATCCCTCAATTTCAGGCATTCTTTGTGATATTTATCTTGTTCAAATGTTATTTAAAAATTACTTTACGTTCTTATTCGCACGTGCGGTATTTGTTTACAAAAATAAATGTAAGGGTTGCCGCGGCATAATAATTATTAATTCTTCAATTGTGCAGAGTTGCATTCACGTCAATTATTTTTTTGTTAAATTTGTAATATATAAGTCATTTTACGATTTGTGGTATTCGCTTTTATTTAATGCCGACTTAATATTATTATTAATTTAGTCAATTATTACCGAGCCATAAAATAAATAATAATTCGTACTCTTCTTTTATATAATATTAAACAATGTACAGGAACGCAAAATCAGTAAAACAAGAAGGACCAGAAAGCATTAGTAATTTCTAAATTAATTTTTAATACAAGTTTAATAAGAGGACGTGTGCGAGTTAGGCTAAGTTTTGTTCTAAATGAGAGATATTCTAAGTTTTGCCGATAATGTAGTGCTGTGTCGATACGTGTTGATATATGGCTAAAAGTGTGCAGTGCAAAAAATTCCAAAAAATCTCCCATTTGGTTTAGTATCAACTTAGCCTAACTCGCACACGTCCTAAATTACTCACATTATATTACTTATTTGAATATAACAAAGACAAAATAATTCTTTGTTATTTATGTTATCATTTTTTAATAACAAAAATGATTTATTAACTTTTATTTAGGTTGTGTGCGAGTTCGAATAAATTGATGGTAAATTAAGGTAAATAGTAAATTTTGTCGGTGTGGCAGCAAATGTGGGTATTTAACAGAATTTCGTGTAGGGTAAATTAAATACAAATTAGGTATGGGTAAATTGTTAAAATTTTATAAAATGTTTAATAAATAAATAAATAAATTTGAAAACTTTTAACGAAAAATAATAAATAAGTGCAATAAATATATAAATAAGTATTTACATAAGTGTAGTGCAAAAAATCTCTAGGAAATTTCAATTTATTTTACTTCAATTTGCTCGAACTCTCACACAGCCTTAATATACTCATTATCTGTTTTCCCTTACTTATATTTTTTAATTAATTTTTAACAGATTACAAATATCAAATTCAGTGTAAATATTCAGATATGTATATTAACTCGGTTAAGTGATACAATTATTTATATATATGCTTTTCTAAAATTATATCGTAACTGGAGTTAACAAATTACCAATGTATCCAGTATGATCATTTCCCTTGTATTTGGTAAAACACCAGCTAATTTTTATTTTTCTGAAACGGTAGAATTTTATAAATACATATGTTGAATCAAAGCACACTTTATGTGTTAAATCATATAAAACAACTGTTAAGTTCAGGGTAATCCTAGTTACTCTGGCAAAATATCTAGAGTGTTATAAATGAATCTCAAGTTTTATATATTTTTCTCGAGATTTACCAATTGAAAATGAATATTACAGTGAAAGTGAATATCAATTGAAAAACTTAACCCAATCGATTTAGCAATTGAAAGACGCCAAAAAGTAAATCTCTATTAAGGACGTGTGCGAGTTACGCTAAATTGATACTAAACCAAATGGGAATTTTTTTGCGATTTTTTGCGCTGCACACATTTAGCCATTTATCAACATGCATCGACACATCACTACATTATCGGGTCAACTTAGAATTTCCCTCATTTGGAACGCAACTTAGCCTCGCACACGTCCTTAGCCAAACTCGCACTCGTCCTAAAAATATAAACCCAGATATACTAATCGAAAATGGCATCAACAACTTTTAGTAATATAATTTTTTCAGTGTTTTTAGTGTTGTCAAATATGTTAAAAAGTAACCATCTGAAGCAGAAAGATTTTATACTAGAAACTCTCTGTGTGCAATCATTTGTTTTATTGTCGCTCTTGTCAAATTCTTTAAATTTATTTTAAAATATTAAGCAATAAATTAAAATAACACATTTTATATTAAGTACAACGAAATGACGACAAATGAGGTTATTGTGGATGCTTTGCCATATATAGATCATGGTTATGATGACACGGGAGTGCGGGAATCTGTAAGTCAGGAAACTAAGCAATATTGGATACAAATTAGTATAATTTTATTTTAGGCCTTAGCTATGGTGGAAGAGGAGTGCCGACGGTACAGACCAACAAAAAATTACTTAGATCATTTACCAGCGTTGAGTACAAATGCTTTTGAAACGAAGTTGATGAGTACAGAATTCGAGCGCATACAAAACCGACTTCCGATGGAGACACTCAGCATGAAACGCTATGAGCTGCCACCACCAGCAGCAGGAAAATTATCAGAAGTGACTGCTTGGCAAGAATCAATAGAGAACTCGATGGCACAGCTGGAACATCAGTGGGTACGCGCTATGAATCTTGAGCTTATGTTAGACTATGGTATAGAGTCTTGGAAAGCTTACTTGGAGGTATTCGTAGCACTACAAGCAAAAGCGCAGGCACAGTTGCAATATCTTAAAAAGGAAATTCAAGACATAAATTGGAAACGCAAATTAGCACAGACAAGCGCTGGTGAGAAACTGCGAAACCTAGAAGCCAATTGGGTATTGCTGGTGTCTAAGAATTACGAGATTGAACAGCACTGCGCGGACTTCGAGGAAAAAGTACAGAAGGCGCGAACTTATCTGGAACAGTTGCAGAAACAAGTAGCTGAATTGGAAATGGAGAAGTCAGCAGCGCAAATAGTTGAGGAGGCACATAGTACCACGCAAGCAGAAGAAGAAGAAGAAGAAGATTTACAACAAGAAATGGCGACGGATGAGCAAAGCATGGAACATATGCAATATGACGACTATAACAGTGCTAACAACGATGATGGTAACGATGATAGTAATGCCGTTGATAATACTGACAATAATCCTGCTGACGATGACGATGCTGATGCTGATGACAATGACGACGATGATGACTACGAGTAGTAAGTTTATTAAATATTCCTTCCCATGGCACTGATATTGTAAGTTTTTTTTACTACCAAATAAACATGAAAGGAAAAATGAAATGCATTTTTTATTGTCGCATTCAAACGCAGAAATCTGTCAGCCGTGAGTAAGTGGCATTTGGCAATCAAACTTTTCAAGTTCAATTTGTATGGCTCTTTGCACTTATCTATGCACTCCAATGCTAGTGTCAATTATTATCCGAACTGCTACCGAAAAGTCCTAACATGCTTAGTTAGACGTAGGGACGCAATGCATGGAGTTCTCGATGATAGCCAAAGAATAATGAATTGAGCTCTCATGATGATTTTTATGGTAATATGGTAATAAAAATCATCATACATTATATAATTTTAAGTAAAATGGAATTTTATTTTATTTTTTAACCACCGGTTGCTAAAACATCAACTTCGTTTCGCAGTGCGCATGTCCAGGATATACAAATGTCAGCGAAAATCGATAACGCTCGGATATCTCGAGTGGAAACATTAGTAGTGTTTACTTGTTAGTAAATAAAAAATTGCTAATAATTTGTGGTAGTGAAAATTGAGTTTTAGTTTGTTTGTGCCACTTCCGGTGGGGAAGTGCGATGAACCCAGTGCCAAATCCCGATTTCATGGAGGTGCGTGCTATGCAACATGCATGCCACGCAAAGCAACAGTGCTTCGTTTTCACAGAAATCGCGGACATCGAACTGCCTCCTGAAATAACAAAGTTAACTAACGAAAAATACAAAAACAGTGGCATAACCACATGTAAGGAACAATGCGGTGATATGTTAGTGGACCATACACGCACGACGTCCCGATGTCGAAAAGTCGTTATCGTATTAGGTTTAGTGCTTGTTTGCTTTGCCATGGCTGGTGGTATACCATTAGCACTGCAGCTACGTTCTTCGTCGTTGCTAGAGGCAAGGCTATCGTTTATCCGACGTTTATTAACTGAAACACCATTGATCGAAGGTGTTTGGAAGCCAACGAAACGGGATAATAACTATAATGCTAGTGTTTTTGAGGCGCGCCAAAATAACGTTGGTGCATTACTTTGGCCAATTGCTGTACCCTGTGGCGCGCAGTATTTGGATGCAGTACAGCTGGCACTGGAAGGAATTGACGAGGCCAAACGCATGACAGCACATACTGATTCCATGCATATAGCGGAATCTGCTGATGAAATGGAACAAATTCACATTAGAGGTGATGTTGCTGTGCTGATGGGTATAGGCGGTGGTCATGCTTTGGGTGCTAGCTTAGCTGTACTGCGCTCCATGTATCTTTTAGGTGTACGTTTTGTTTCGATAACTAGTTTAGAGTGCACCACTCCTTGGGCTGCAGCAGCCATAAAAACTCGAGATTTTTTAATGGAAGAAAATGCAACGAATTCGTTGAATGAATTTGGCAAGGTAAGTTTAATTTGATGGGGAGTTATTAGGGGATTTGTTTAGATTATAAACCTAATAATCTCTTTTTTTTTCCTTTTAGATGGTACTTTATGAAATGAATCGCCTGGGAATGCTTGTGGAAATTTCACAATTATCTGAAGCTGGAATGGTAACTGCCCTACGTACGGCCAAAGCACCAGTGCTGTTCATTAACTCTACTCCTCTCTCTCTTTGCAATAGTACAAATGTTGCTTCGATACCGGATCATATTTTAAGGTAATGTACATACATTTAGGATGATATTCTATTACATTTTCTTAGAGGTTCACAAGAATATTTAATTAAAATTTTTTTAAGGTCTTTAATATTTTAAAATTTAGATTAATTTTAATTTTATTTGAATAATAATTCATTTTAATAATTAATTTTATTTAAATAAATTTGAATTTTTTTTAATTATTTTCATTTTTTCTTTAATTATTTTTATTTATTTTTCATTATTTTTATTTATTTTCTTTAATTATTTTGATTTTCTTAAAATATTTTTTTATTAGTTTTTTAGTATTTTTCTTTTTTTTAATCATGTTTAATTATTTTTATTTTTTTAAAACTATTTTCATTATTGTTTAATACTTTTTATTTCTTTCTAATTATTTTTTATTAATATTAATTTTTTATATTTATTTATTATTTATTTGAATTATTATTTTTATATTTTTAAAACTTTGTTTATTTGTTTTTTGATTAATTTTATTTTTTTTCAATTATTTTTACTTTATTTTAATTAGTTTTAATTTCTAATTAATAAAATTTTTTTTAAATGTTTTTATGATTTTTTAATTTCTTTACTTTATTTTGAATTATTTTTATATTTTTATATCTTTGAAATTATTTTTATTTTTTTAATAATTTTTATTATTTTTTTAATTATTTTTATTTTATTTGAATTATTTTTTTTTTAGTGTTTGTATTAATAATAATTTTGTTTTTTAAATGGGCTAATTGGTCAATTGTTAAATAATACACTATTTAATAAATATTTTTGTTTTTTCAAAGATGTTATTTGAATCAATATATCGAATATATTCTATAGTTACTCTTCAGGATACACCCTGAAGATTTGGTCATTAAAGCAATACATTATATTTATTTGTATTTGTTTTTTTTTAATTATTTTTATTTGTTTTTTTTTATATATATTTTTATTTTATTGTTAACTAGTTTTCTCTTATTTTTAATTATTTTTTTTTTTAATAAGTGATTGTTAAACCAACATTTCAGTGTATTTAAATTTTACATAATTTTTTTTTAAAATATATTAAAAATTTTAATAAAAATTAATAAGTGTTACTTATAAACAATTTGAGTGTTAAATAAGTCCGATTAAATTATATTTTATTTTTGTTTTTATTATTTAAACAATTATAATTAATTTATAATATATGATTTATTATATATTTAT